CTTTTTATTCTTGTCTGAATATTTGTCGTTATGCTTTGTTTCTAAAAGCCTAATGATTACGTTGCTCAAGATAATACTTTATTTACAGTTTTGTATCAACGTGAAACGTGGCCTCTCGTTTTAGAAGACAAATCGAGGGTATCGTATTTGATGACAGGGTTCGGAGGATAATATTTTGACCTCAGAGAGGTAATAACAGGACAATGAACAAAATTGTATAATGATGAGCCCCTAACGGAAACTGGCAGTGCTCATAAAATTTAGAATTTGCTAGACAATTCTTCCATCTTAGCGTTTAATAGTAACACCATTGAGCAAAGTCCTATTTTGAGTAGCTGATAGTTGCTTATATGGGTGAGAAATACCACTCATTTTATAGAACCTCAAGATGCATTACTGTGCTCACAAGAGCCAGCAACTGGACCTCATTCTGAGCCAGATCAATATAGTCCACGCCATAATTTCTATTTATTGTTAATTAATGTCATTTTATCCTCCCATCTAAATGAAGAAGGCTGCCATTATAGAACAGCCACAGCTTAATAACTTACCTTGTACATTTTAGAGCTGTGTGTATGTTCCTAGGGTGTATGATGCAGGTGGTCACCTGAGCAAAGCTTTTATACGCGACAGCAGTGGAACCCGGGGGTGGAAACCACGCCAGTTCGCAGTCTGAGATGACAAGAGATAACATCTAGTAGGGGAGCATTTCTCAACTTTAGAACTCGTTCTTCTGCGATGTATGAATTTATTGCCTAGCTGTATAACTAGTCGCGTGCAGTTGTTCGTAGGAGGGGTATTAAAGTATTTGGGTTTCAAGGTCACTTTGTACTCCATGCGATTTTATTAGCACATTAGTTCGAAAACTCCTGTGGCAATGTGGAACTGTTAAACTTATTTGGTTAAATATGGTAACAAATAAAAATTAAATTCTGGAAGAAGTTACGAACAGAATTAATTCAGTAAATTCTTGTTATCGTTAAGTTTAGAATTTCTAAAACCTTAAACGTTAAATTATGCTACACTATAATTTTACACCCCGTTTTACACTGGGGCGAAACCTAGTTTCTCAGCCATGCAGGACATATTTCACGGAAAAAGAATAGCATCAGGCCACTCCGAGAACATGGCGCAGAGAAAACGTTAACCTAAGAAGACAGGAAGTAGAAGAAAGATGGAGAAGACTGCATTGTGAGGACCTTCGTAATTTTGCAATGTGCGCACAGAATGGACACACAACCTAAGGAAAATGTGTGTTCGTCTCGTTCATAAACAAATTTGTTTGTGAAGACTCTAAGGAAAGAAAAAACTGCACAGATGAATTTTCTGAGATCTGTTGCAAGGTGAAATTTTCGATTCTCACGGCGACGAATATGAAGAAGGCTACTTTCTGGAATATTGCACCCTCGCCGTGATGATGAAGGCCATTTTATATATTCCTACATTTCAGAGACGTACTCCGCAGAACAACAATTCTTCTTTAAGTCGATCAAGAATTCATCTGTATTTTGTAGAACCAACGGCTTTGTTTGTTATGGGTACAGCTGAAATTATTTAGTTTAACGTATCTTCGTTTTTTTTATTAATTCCACGGTCTGACCTTAACCTAAGTCGATTTCACTGGCGTAAGTGAGTCAGTCTCTAAAGGCCGACGAGCTGCGACTCCGTACAGCTATGCAATAGAGGGCGATAGTTCTGCGTGGTCACATGGGAAGGAATGGACCCTTGTTACGTCATTGGGCTGTGATAAAGAGCACATATTGCTCAACAATT